AAAATTAAAAATAAATAAAACTCTTATTGAAAAAAAAAAGTGGAAGATGGCAGGTTTGGGAACCTTGCCTTAAATAGCTAGGTGCCTGGAATGGGAAAAGCCTAGTCTTTCAAACCTTATAGTATAAGGTACATTGAACAATTAAGAAGGGACATACATGAAGACCACACACAGCCTTGTAGTTTCTCAGTGCCCCCTTACCACTCAACAGTCTAGTGGAACTGGACCCTCCAAAAGGGTGTTTACCTTTAGCCACAGGATTCAAGTGAAAGCCCAGTTTCTGGTTCAAGAGCATCAGGCTGTGATCAGTGCGGGTCAATCAAAGGTAGCAACTCTCCGCAGCGCGAATCCAGTTTCAGGCAGGCCAGATTGTCTGACCGTGTGGGCCCAATGTTCAGTATAGCGATTGGGAGCTTCTTCTCCCGGGCAGTGAGGATAAATCGATAGCCAGAGTACACCTGTCCGAGAAGAAGACACAGGTGAGCGCAAGAGAAGAAAGGAGCAGGGAACTCACCCATCAGAGGGGGCACCCCCTACCCCACCAAGTCAGATACCTGCAGGGACGAGCCCACTACCAAGAGGGAGTCGGCTTCCTTTACACGCCTGTGCACGAAGTTCACCTTGTCAGGGTTCACTGTGTCCCCGAAGAAAACGACATCTGGTTTCAGAGGGCCCCCACATCGAGCACAGGAGGCCACCTGAAAGCTCTGAACTTGCTCGTCGGTGAGAAAGACGTCCCCATCGGGAGCTAGGCCATGGGCCTCCACACTCCAAGTGGGGTTCAGCACCTCAAAGCGCTCCTGCAGCACCCCACGTGGTATCTGTTCACCACAATCCAAGCAGAGGACCCTGCAACCAACGAGGACCCAACTCAACCGGCTGTCCTGGGGGACAAGAAGCCTCCCAGCATTGCTCCCCGGCCGCCGGCAGCCCTTCTACCACGGCTTCCGCTCCTAGCAGCTTCTAACCGCCCCTGTTTCAGTAGTACTTTTTCAAGACCCTTTCAGCGACCACCTTGTTCCTCCCCTTCCTTCCACTTCCAACCTTCTAGAACAAGTTGTGTTCCCTTAGTGCATGACCATGTCTCTCAGCCTTCTGCTAGTTCGCCTGTATCCTTCACACTGTGGCAGGTGCCTTGGTACCTGAGTGATTTCCTTAATGCCAAAGCCAGTGTATTTTCCCCCTCCATCCTCTGCTCTCCTCATCCACCACCACTGTCCATCATCACCCTCTCTCTTTTTTAAAGTTTTATTTTATTATATTTATTTTGTAGAACTGGGGTGTAGGCCGTGGAGGAGCTGGTGCCTTGCTCACCGTCCCCTGGGGACACCCTAGAGGCCACATGCACACAGTTCACTTATCAGTAGCTTCCTCCTTAGGGTGTTTTCTGGCCGGGGAGGCCTCCTGGGGACAGCAGTCCATGTTCCAGAATTAATTCCCTGGAGACCCTCCACCACCGAGGGATGGGAGAGCTTCTTGACTCTCAGTGAGCCAATTCAGAAGCAAGTTCTAGACAGTCCAAAGCCCCTCCGGGCTGAGCACCAGCTGCCCAAAGCAGCAACCCAGCCATGAACAGGCCCTTTCTGGGGCTTCCGTCCTCTCCCGTTTCACTTCCCCATGGCCTCGTGGAGTTTGCTGGGATCAACACCGCAGTAAGCAGCTGGCTCCCAAATCCTCTCCCTGAGAGCTAAGGAAGACAAGCATGCTCAGAGAGCCCAGGCCCCTCCATGTGGAGCACAGTTTGGGGTGTCCCAGCCCTTCACCTGTGCATGCAGCCGTGGAGTTCCGTTAGGCGCTGACTCCCCGCCTTGCTGTGCAGGGCATCCACATTTTGGGTCACCAGCCAGTACAGCTTTCCGAGTCTCTCCCAGTGGCTCAGAGCCCAGTGTGCAGGGTTGGGATGATGGGAGGAGAACCGGGGCCAGCCCACAAAGTTCCTTGCCCAGTACCGCTGGCGGATGGCCGCACTCCGCACAAAGTCCCTGTGCTGGATGGGTCGCCGGTCAGTGCGGGCATAAAGTCCCACCTTCTCCGACCTGTAGTCTGGGATCCCCGACTCGGTGGAGATCCCTGCCCCAGTTATCACTAGGAGTCTCTTGGAAAGGGTGATAAAGCGCTGTAACTCTTTGACTTTCTCAGGGTCCGGAGGAGGACTTGAAGGTACGAATAACCCAGTGGATCCGTGGGAGCACTGCCGGCTGACATTTAGCAGCCAGCAGCCTTTTGCCGCCGTGAGAGGCAGTGCAAAGTTCATCCTCATTCTAGGGAGAAAGAGATCTCGTGAGAGAACTGTTTTGTTTTTTTTTTAAGATTTATTTAATTTATGCATATAAATTTATGCCAGAGGTGCAGGGGATACAAGGATTCATCAGGGACATAGTGGGGTGCAGAACAGGCAGATCTACTGAGATAAACTGCAGAGGGGAACAGTGGGCAGATAGGAGAGGTCTGCTGCGCCATGTGGGTCAGCTTCCTGGCTGGGAATCGAACTCGTGCTGCAGTGGCTGCAGACCACTTCATAGTGCAGTGCTTAACCCATTGCACCACCAGGGAGAACCCAAGAACTGGTTTCTGGTTTTTAAAAACAAAGTTAATCACCAAATGACAAGTGGATAAACAAAATAAGGTCTATCCATATAAAGGAATATTATTTAGCTATAAAAAATGAACAAAGTTCTGGTATATGCTACAATCTGGATAAACATTGAAAACATTATACCAAGAATAAGAAGTCAGTCACCAAAAGACAAGTATGATCCCATTTATATGAAATGTCTAGAACAGAAATATCTGTTGAGACAGAAAGTAAATACAGTTGCCAGTGGTGGGCCCTCTCTGGTGGTACAGTAGGTTGGAGTGCTGCACTGTGAAGCTAAGCCAAGCTGTGGCCCCTTAAATGTGAGTTTGATCTTCGGCCCCGGAGGTGACCACATGGCGCGGCAGACCTCTCCTGTCTTGCCCACTGCTCCTCTCAGCAGTATACTTTGTTGGTCTGCCTGTTCTGCTCCCTACTCTGTCTCTGGTGATTCTTCTCACTGCCCCTGCACCTCTGGCCTGTACCCCATTTCTGTGTACATAAATTAAATCTTAAAAGAAGTTGTCAGTGGTTGGAGAAAGAGAGAATGTATGAGAGCTTCACTGTTTGTACAGCTGAAAAACAAAGATGGGACCTAAGCATTGAGTGTCAACAGCTTCTAATGTTACAGAAGAGAAAAAGGTAGAATTAAAGACTCTTAATGGAAGAGGAAATCACCATCCATGATATGTCTTGGCCAAAAAATCTGATTTTGACTCTGATCAAGTTTCTAGTGCTAATGAACAATTTATAGGCAGAGGACAAAGCAATGTGCTACCCAACAAAGTCCGCATTACGGGATAATTGAAAAATTGAATATTAACTGGATGCTCAATATTAAGAAAATTACTGTTAAATTTCAAACTTATGGCAAATGGTAATGTGATTATTTTTAAAGTCCTCATTCCACATGGAAATACTTGGATAAAATGATATATCTGAGAGGACTTGATTAAAAATAACAGGCAGGGAGGTCAGAGTAGACAGAAGTAAACAGATGAAAACGAGATTAGCCAAGAGTTGGTTATTGTTGAAGCTGAGTGATAAGTTCCTGGGGGTCAGTATATGAGGTCATCTCCACAGTAAGGAAAAAAATGACTGGATTGAAGGAGTCTTAGTGTCCGCCGAACAGTGGAGAGTAGAAACTCCAAAAGCCAAGAGATAAAGGTAAATGCTTATATCTTTTTAATATTTTAAAAGTTTAAGAGATATGATCTGAAAGTGACAAGTAAAAATAAAATGTAGAAATTTGAAAAAAGCTAAACCGTGCAATGCATTGTTTTAAAAGGAGATAAAACTCTAATATCTGGACCATATCAGCTAATCATACAGTATTCACAGAAAGCATATTTGAAATTAAAAGTTAAAGTGAAGTAGAACAGAAGACTTAAAAATATACCTCCCTCAAGTTGCCCTACATCTAGGTAAAAAAGGAAAGCAAGGGGATATGATTTTGAACAGCACAGAGATAGTAAGGGCTAAGCCTAGCCTAAAAAAATAGACAAACCCTAACTCTAAGAAAGAATTCACAAATAAAAGGAAAGCTTGGGGTCTCCTTGGTGGCCTAGGGGTTAAATCTTAGCACTATCATCATGACCTGAGTTTGAGCCCCCTAGGGAATAGCCCACATATGTTCCAGCAGACCTCTCCTGTCTGGCCTGCTGCTCCCCTCAGCAGTGTGTTTCAGTACATCTGCTGTCATGCTCTTCACTCTTGTCTCTCGTGATCCTATCACCACTGCCACCCCCACCCTAAATGGGATTTGGGAGCAGGTTACAGATAAGAACTACCCCTTCCCCCACCTCAAAAATCTATAAGCTGCCAACCCAAAAGCTCTTATAATCAACAAATCTGCACATTAAAATATTTATGAGAAAGGCATATGGTGGCGCTGGGGTTAAGTCTCAGTGCTATCAAGCAAGTTATTGCCAGACACTGTGGCATGAGTTCAATGCCCTGGCCAGGGAGCTGACCCACATGGTGCAGAAGTCCTCTCCAGTGTCGCCCACTCCTTCCCTTAGCAGTGTATTTCAGTAGATCTGCCTGTTCTGCTCTGCACTCTGACTTTGGTGAATACACACACAGAGAAACACACGCGGCTCGCACACCTCTGGCCTACACCCCAGTTCTTATATGCATACATAAATAAAAATAATCTTAGAAAGAAAAGGCAGGGAAACTGAAAAAATAAAGGCTGTTTTTAAAAGGAGAGGGTAAGGTAAAATTTGGTAAGTCAGGATGGTTAGAAATGAATTTTTCAGGGCTCTCTCCGGTGATGCAGCAGAATAAAGCACAGCACTGCAAGCTAGCCACAGCAGCTTCAGCACTGCTTCAGAGCAAGTTCGAGCCCTAGCCGGACCCACTTGGCTTGCAGACTTCTGTCTGGCCCCCCTGCTCCCCTCAGCAGTGTACTTCATCCATCTGCCTGTTCTGCTCCCGGCTCTGTCTCTGGTGAATCCTCTCACCGCCCCGGCACTTCTGGCCTGTATCCCAGTTCTGTATGCATCAATAAATAAGTCTTAAAAAAAAGAAAAAATAGAAATTAATTCTTCATAAACTTCAAAAGGGAAAGACACCAGTATCCTTTTAAATCCCTTAACAGTTCGTTGTTATTCCATCTATGACCTCAACTACAGATGTCTGAAGAAGAAAAAAACAAAGTTTAGTTAGTACCATCCCTTTGGCGAGCATGTGAACTACTTCCTAGTTTATAAACTAGAATGATCTTATTTCCTAAGAGAAGCACATTGTGAGTTCTCTTAGGCCAGGTGTCGATGAAGAAGTCGCTCAGAATTTTTCATGTTATTTATGTCACTGAGCACACGCTCTCTTTTTACTTGGTCACTTTCCCACATTCTATTCACACTTTATTGCAAATTGCCGCTTGGGCACAGCAGAGACCTGGCCAGACAGTCTAAACCCCAGCGAGTCAGCTTTTCAAGCTGTAAAAACAAGGCTTTGACAGAGTATTTGATAAAATGCAGAAATTCCCTAGTGGCACGCACCCCGTATGTAAACATTATTTTATGCCTAGCTTTCCTGATCTGGGTTCAGGACCCTGATTTCTCCTTGACATTCCACAGCAGCATGTGAACACCTAAACAAATACCTAGTCTGGATTCCGGAGACCAAAGGGCTCCGGAAACCCCACCGAAGACACGTTCTTTGGGAGCTGCTGCTCCCTCCCAGGTTCCGCTGAAGGGCAAAGAGGAGACAGGGAACGCCTCACGAGAAACCCACTACAGGAAACCGGCAGCCAGCCCAGCACACACTCACCTTTCCCAGCTTAAAGGCAACTCACTCCTGACAGCCGGAAACATTGGCTACATTTGCATTTTGGGAAATGTAGTTCCTGAAGTGGAAATGCTACGAGGAAAACTACAAATCCCACAATCCTCTGGGTTTCACCGTAGAAGAAACCTGCTTTCCAGTAGCGCCCCCTGTCGGCCCTTTTTGATCCGCGGTTTTAAGCCTTAATTCACGAAGCGCCTGCCACTCTCAGCCTAACCCCCAACACGCGCCTAACCCCTACCCCCCCCTCATCTGCGTCCTTTGAGAGAAGAGTTTTCCACACCATTGTCTTGAAGTGCAAAAGTAGCACATCTGAATAGCGCTAACTTGGGAATTCACCCTCTATTAAAATAGTTTCAAGAGTTGACGCCTAACTTCAGCGTTTAAGGTCCTTTCCACCCACAGGGATGGAAGCAAGTTCCCACTTGGCAGTGGTGGTGAAGAAGTACATTTACGGATTGTTGAAAATGTGATATTTTCCAGTTAATGTGAACAACGAAAGCCAAACAGGGGCTAGCCTGTTTATCCACTTGGCTTCTCAGATTTTCTTTCTCCTCTGTGTTTTTATTAAATTAACCAACATAACCCTAGGTCTCAGCCCCAGAGATTCTGATTACAGGGGTTGGGGTGGTACCTAAGCGTCAAGTTGGTCTATACACTCTCCAGTTGTTAATAATGTGTCGCTAATGAGAACCGCCAGTAAACAAGACATTGATCTTTTTTAAAAAGGATTTTATTTTTTGTGTACAAGAACTGGGGTCTAGGCCAGAGGTGCAGTAGTTGAGATGATTCAGCAGATACAAAGTGGGGAACAGAATAGGATTGGCTGAAAGACACTGCTGAGGGGAGGAGGGGGTGAGACAGGAGAGGTCTGCTGAGCCATGTGGGTCAGCTCCCTGGCCAGTCAGGAATTGAACTGGTTTTGCAATGGCTGCGGATAGCTTCATAGCCTTGTGCTTTAACCCTTGGGACACCAGGGAGACCCAGACTGCTGTGCTTTTAGATCCTAAAACTCATGTTCTGGGAAAAACTAGTTGAGTTTTCAGTTTTTTCCATAAGGTTTCCATAAGGCTGGAAAGTCACCCATGGAAGATGACATGATCCCCAATAGCTGGTGAAATACAATTTCTTTGATAGCTACTGGTCTGTATAACTATCCACCCAGTCACCGTGTTCTCAAGGACTAAGAAGTTCTTTGGGTAACACTTTTTTCTACCCCCCTCACAACTCCATCACACCAAAATGAATGAGACCTGAGTGGATCGAAGTAAAATATATACTCCAAATCAATCAAATTGCTAGTCTTCTTTTTTTTTCCTGCTGGTTTTTCCTAGCCTGGAAGGTATAACTGTAACACTAACCAAAGTAAATAAATAAATAAAAATAACTGCAAATCAGCATCAAATAGGCCTTTAAAAAATAGTACTTTAGGCCCTCCCTGGTGGTGCAATGGATTAAAGCACAGCACTATGAAGCTATCATAGCCACTGCAGCATGGAGTTCGATCCCCCCCCCCAGGGGGGTGACCCACAAGGCGCAGCAGACCTCTCCTGAACCACCTGCTGCTCCCCTCAGCAGTGCACTTCATGGATCTGCCTGTTCTGTTTCCCAGTCTGTCTCTGGTGAATCCTCTCACTCCACCCAGCCCCAGCCCTCACGCCTCTGGCCTGTATCCCAGTTCTGTATGTATCAATAAATAAATCTTTAAAAAGAATCACTTTAGCATCTAGAATACACAAATCCTTAATGAGAAATACTTTGAAAACTTCATATTTTACTGTTTTTCTAATAAATGTTGGGGGAAGTGGCACTTTCTCAGAGGCCACTATTTGCATTAAAATCTAAAATCAAAGTATTTGGGAGAATATAATTCAAGGGAAGAAACAACTCCAGATATAGGTTTATGGCAGCTTTCCATTTGTCAAGGGAAAACAGGCAACACGGTGAAAAGTTATTTCAAGCTTCATGAACTGTTGACAGTACTGCAGAAATGGTTTCTTTTCCCTAAATTAAGAGGTCCACAGAAATTTCTTTTGGATTATACACAAAATCAACATAGGATACAAAAATTCTGACTGCATACAAAAAAAAAAATCTGAAAATAGGAAGTTAAATCAATAGTCACACCAATACTGAGAGGAACTTTATTCACAATATCCAAAAGGCATGAATGGATAAACAAAAAGCCCATACAATTTATCATCCATCCTTAAAAAGGAATAGACTACAACATGAATGAACCTTAAAAATATGCCGAGTGAATTAAACCATACACAAAAGAAGAAAATAGGCTATGATTCCATTTATATGAGGCACTCAGAGTAGTTAAATTCTTAGAGAAGTAGAATAGAGCTTGCCCCGGCTTGGGGGTTGGGGAGAGGGGAGTTAGTTTAATGAATGGGTGCAGAGTTTCAGTGTAGGAACATAGAAGTTCTGGAGATGGATAGTGATGGTTGCAAACAATGCAAATATACTTAATGCTATTGAATTGTACACGTAAAAATGGTTAAAATTATAAAACATACATTATGTATATTTTACCATACTATAGTTTAAACCATAGCCTCTTTTAGAGATAGAAGTTACACTCTAAGTCGAGGCTGAGTCAACGCACCCTTTAGCCCATTTCTCGTCCACCGGTATTTCATTCTCTGACTAGTATCTCCCATAATGCTTTGCTTCGCCCAAAACAAAATTTAGCTAAATGAAACAAAGCAATTGAATCACTAGAAACCATCTAAACGTTTTCTAGACGTCTTATAGCACTGTTTAATTTGAAATCAAATAATAATTAACAGTTTTCCTATGCTACTTAAACTCACTTTTCTGTAATAGGAACCTGACCTATTGGGGGTGAAGGGTAGGGGGCGGTGTTCTTTAGCTTTGCGCAGTGGCAGTATCGTAGCCAATGAGGTTTATCCGAGGCGCGATTATTGCTAATTGAAAACTTTTCCCAATACCCCGCCGTGACGACTTGAAATATAGTCGGCATTGGCAATTTTTGACAGTCTCTTCGGAGACTGAATATTGCGGTTCAAGAAAGAAGCAGTGTTTATAGTAACGTTTATGACTCATACGCGGAGGCATTATCCGGTAAAGCGGCCTTTCTGCTTTAAAGCTGTGAGTCATATACCTAAGTGCTGGGTAGGTAGAGCGGCCTTTCAGCTTCGCAGTTCTGCATGTTACCCAGCTGCTTTCTAAAATCACGTCTTTGGACTTCATAACGGAGGCGCGCACTTCCGTTTCTCAGGTTAGCCCGGACTGTTTCTCCCTTCTGTCTTGCTAAAGCGAGCCTTCCAGTCCCTGCCTGCAGTTTCTGCACTGCTCTCCGGGCTACTCGTTTCCTTTCGCCATTTGATTCACCCTCGCTTACCCCCTTCTGGGTTTTCTCAAGCTACTAGACGCTTCCTCTGTGACGTCATGGTGATTTGCATAAGGTTCCCCAGCATCCCCAGCGAGTGTGTTCTCATCTCTAAGAGCTGTGTTCGCGTTTCTAAAATCTGAATGTTCGACACGAGATGATCCAACAAGAAGCAGCCCCCCACGCGTACGGGTCACAAATGTAACTGCTCGAACGGGAGGACGTCATATTGGCGAATTCGCCGGCAGTCGCTCACCCTCACTGTAAAGACGGTTGTCATCCATGGGGGGTGGACCGCGTGGCACTTCCCTACAGCTTTGCGCAGTGGCAGTATCGTAGCCAATGAGGTTTATCCGAGGCGCGATTATTGCTAATTGAAAACTTTTCCCAAT